ATTTTAGCCATTCTGACTGGTGTGAGGTGGTATCTCATTGAGGTTTTGATTTGGATTTCCCTGATGCCGAGCGGTGTTGAGCATTTTTTCATGTGTCTGTTGGCCATTTGGATGTCTTCTTTGGAAAAATGTCTGTTCATGTCTTCTGCCCATTTCTTGATTGGATCAACCCTCATGAAGATTTAAAATAGTGTTTTTACAAACACTTTTCAAATAGACAAAGGATCTAAAAAATGCTTTATTGATGTGTTACACGACAGGTACTTTTAAGACTCTAAGTGTGGGTTGTCCTACCGCAGACTTTCAGAGAGCACAAAGTAGAGATAAGCATATGTGAATATACTTGTACATGTGCCGCTTTCTAATAGAATGGATTGTACATCAAAACATAAGAAATCAGCAGTTTTAAAAAGAATTAGACCAACTTGAAAGTATCAGAGAAAGTGAAAAGTGAAAAGAAGCCCTTGGATCTTCAAATTACTATAGGAAGAAAGTAACACGGTTGCAAACACTATGGAAAATAATAAATCAGAGGGCAAAACAGCCAAAAATGCAGAACCAAGACTCACGGAGAATAACATATGAAGGAACCTGGCACGTATTTCCAGCTGGATTTCAGAATTGCTGTGGGCAAGTGTCTCCTATGTGTCCTTTTCTCCTTCTGTGTATATATGGAGAATATATGGTGGTTTTGCCATTCCTGTCTCCTCACCATTGTATGTTGGAGGTGGTGGTAGAAGGCACATATCTTGTCTCTTTAGTTCACAGATTTTCAGATTGAGATGAATGATATTCAAGGAATTATATCCAAGGAATTGCATCTGAGGGTGCTTATCTGAACTCGAACATGACTTAGCTATGGATACCTCAAACCTCAAACTGATTCTGTAATGAGAAAAGATTTAGGAGTCTTAGGATAGGTGATGTGGCTATATTTTCATGTGAAATGATGTCATTGTGAGAAGATTGGCAGATTATATATTTTAAAGATGGTCATAAATATATCTCTTCTTATGTGGTGACTTTGACATTCTTCCCTTCAATAAGTGGAGTTTATATCTTATATCCCTGATCTTGAGTCTGGGAAGACTGGAGGTGATGATGGAAATGACTATATGTGTCTGCCTACACTGGGTAATAATAGCAGTGTAACTTTTGCCCTGCAGGCTGGAACAATTGTGCTGGAATCCTAAGCTGCTTCCTAAACCATCTGATGTTTTGTAAGGCTTCCATGTTGTAAGGACACCCAGTTTAGTTCAGACAGAGACTCTAGGACTACACGAAGAGAATAAGAAGTCAGCCATTCCTCAGCTACTTTTGCATACCTCCACCCTACCTGCTACTATTTCATCACCAGCCACTATCTGGGTATGATCTCATGAGTTATCTTGACAGAACCACGAATCGAGCCCTTTCTGAGTTCTTGATACACAGAAACTAGGAGATAAGAAAAATATTTGGGGTAATTTTAAGCCACTAAGTTTGGGTGATTTTCTAAGTAGATGTAGGTAACAAGAACCCCTAACCAGTCAAATTTTTATTTCAGATGTTTTGGGTTTTATTTCTACAAGTTTTATTTGATTCTTTAGTATGTATAATCTATTTCCCTCATCATGTTTGTGTTTTTCTTTAGGTCCTTGAGCATGTTTATAGCTATTTTAATATCTTGTGTTATTCTTCCATTATTTCTGTCATCTGCATCAGTTTTTATTGACTGATTATTTCTGGGTTATGAGTCATATTTTCCTACTTCTTTGTGTATTTAATAATTTTGGGGTTGGGTATTGGACATCATAAGTTTTATTTTAGAGTTTTCTTTTTTCTTTTTCTTTTTTATCCTTTAAAGACTGTTGAAGTTTGTTTTGACCAGTAGTTTATTTATTTGCAAATTAATTTGTAAACCTTTAGAGGTCTCCCTTGAATGCCCCAGGTATTTATTTCTTTGCATTCTGGATGATCAGAATTTAAACATCTCTTATCCCAACATGTGATTATTTAGGAATTATTCAGTACCACCCTCTACCCAGTACTGGTTCTCTTCCTAGCTCCTAGGAGTTTCATTCTAGGCATCCCATGCTTTATGTTTAACAACAGATTCAAAGAAAGCTTTATGAAAATTTATGGAACTCTTGTGTTTAACTAGCTCCTATCTTGTACTTTGCCCCTCAAATTCCAGCCCCTTTTATGTATGTGTCTGACTGAACACAGACAGGCTGCTATTGTCTGTTTCCATTAGCTCTTCCTGCATCACAATATGGAAGGTGCCTCCTTAGGGAAGCTGGGCTGATTTTAAGACTCCAGTTATCTTCCTTCTCTTAGGAATCACAGTCCTGTGCTGCTATTTTCCAATTGGGAAATCCTGTGTTTGAAAATACATGTTTCATGTATTTTGTCCTATTTTCTCATTCTTTTTTTTTAATACAGAATGCCTCACGAGTTTGTGTGTCATCCTTGCATGGGAGCCATGCTAATCTTCCCTGTATCGTTCCAATTTTAGTATATGTGCTGCTGAAGCAAGCACCTATTTTCTCATTCTTTATTGTAGGAGGCCCAGTAACTCCATCAGAGTGGAAGTGATGGCCTCAAGTCTCTGTAAAACTAATTTTTTAAAACTAATTTTCTAAATTATCACCCACCGTTTTCCCCCCATGACATGTTCTAATTTATTTTTTGTAACTTTATCTTCCAATGTGGTACATCAGCCTGGTCATCCTTCTAGTCTATCTAGTGTTTTCTTTAAAGACCACATTTTCCAAGTTTACTGTTTCTGTTTTATTCTTGGCATTTCCTTTAAACTCCCCTTGTTATTTTATAGATTCTATTTCTTTTTCTTTAGAAGTTTAAATCATAAAGTCCTCATCATCTTTAAATTTTTAGCTATTCTCTTGTTTGTGTTGTCTCATAGTAGTGGATTCTCATGTGTTTTGCAGATTTTTCCTGTGGATGTCAAAATGGTAGGCGTTTTCTTCTTTGAAAATCTGTTATACCTGTGTCTTAGGTTAAGCAGTTGTCCTTGTAGAATATTTTTATTTTGTTTTAGCCAGGGTCATGTGGACTGGTTTAAAGACCAGTTTTATATTAGTTTCTCAGTTTGAGTTTAACAGGTTAATTTTATTTGGGACCCAGTACTTCTATGTGCATAATGCCTGGTTTTCTAACATCCATATTACTTAAAAAAAAATTAATGTTTTTTTTTCTTTTTTTTCCAGTCAAGATTTGGGACTGCTAACTTACTTTTGGCTGTGCCCACTCTGTGTCTCTGCCAGCAGGGGCAAAGTTTTGTTCCTATTTGTGATGGACAGCGTATGTCAGGATTTCTCTTTTGTCAGGCTCTCTGACATGTAAACAAACAAGCAAACAAAATCTGTTTTAGTGCTTCATCAAGAACTGGTCTTACTGCCTTAAGTTCATTCCTAAAATAGGTTCCTAAACCTGAAATTGTATGTCCATGTCCAATATATTTATGTGGTATTTGTATGTTAGAATTAAGAAGAAAGTCTTGTGATGTGGCTTTAATCTGACATCTTGAGCAGAAGCTGTAATATCAATATGTTATCTCTCCTCTTCTTTGTCAAAGTAACTTACATTTGTGAATACTGTTAATCAGCCAAATACAATTTTCTTTTATTATGTAGGTAGTTTGATATGTTACATTTGTAATATATTAAACGATACTCTTGTTTATGATTTTGAAATTGTTGTATTTAAAAATATTTTAATATTTTACTATATACCAGAAATTATCCTAGGTGACCTAGGGGGAACATAAACAATGGGATTCACCAGCCCCTCTGACCATGGAGAGCATTCTGAAGGACTCCTACAGACACTCAAGGGCTGGTCCCTTTAAATTCTAGTTGCCCTTTTAAACCGCAGCTAGTTTTTTTTTTTTTTTTTTTTATGCCCCAAGGCAGACAAATCTGCTCCTAGTCACTCAGTACTATTTCTCCCCACTGCAGTTCACACTCTCCGGAACTGGGGTTCCTGTGGTTACCCTGTCTTCATCTCTTGCTGTTTCCATGAGGTTCCTCTACCCTTTGGGGTGCAGATGCTATTCAGTAAGTCCTCAGTTCTTCTTAAGTAGGAATTGCTCTATATGTAGGCGTCCATTCGGTGTGTTTGTGGAAGAGGTGAGTTCATGATCTTTCTGCATCGCCATCTTGGACCCTCTCCTATTCATTAAATTATATATATGCCCTATATACATATATTTGTATAAATATTTGCCATATATATATATGCATATGTCCTATATTTCTGAAAAATTCTATGAATTCTGTTAGGATTTTAAAAAGCCTTGAAAGGGATGACATTTAAATTATATTATGGACTATAATATTTACAGATAATATGATTTATGGGTTTTGTTTCAATATAATATAGATGTTGGTGGAGTTTCAATTTAAAAAGATTGACCATAAATTGGTCATTTTTGATCCTGGATGATAACTACATAGGAGTATATTATACTATTCTCTCTACTTTTTAAAGGATAAGAATTTTCCATTAAAATATTTTAAAAATATGATATCTTTTCAAACTTTTTAAGCAGCATAAAATTATGGCATTCCATGAATTCTTTTATTATGTAAAGATATGTACTTTGCATGCAAAAATTTAAACTCCCTATGTATTGCTAAAGTTGTGCTATTTAAAGCAGAAAATTTCAAAATTGCATCTAAATAGAAAACAAAACTATTGAAAAGCTAATAAACCCTAAGCAGGAACCTCATTACACAACAGGGCCTTATTATCAATTCCATTTATTGTTAATGACATACACTTGGAGCAATGGTTCTAACTGAAGCTTAATTTGAAGACAAAACAGCAAACTTCTTAGGCCTTCTTTTTTTTTTTTTTTTCCTTTTGTAGTAAGTTTCTCAATGTGAAATTTGAAAAAATGCAGAGTATTTTATTGTTGGAATCTAATATTCACCCAGAATATATCCTTTTCGAAAGAACAATATAGAAAGATAATTGGGGAGAAGTAAAAGGTATGTGGAACGTTATGTTGAATGCTTTCTTAAATCAATGTAGCTAGTACTAAATCCAGATTACACTAATATTAAAAACATAATGTCATTTGTTACCTCTGAATGCCTTTTGGCACACAGTACAAGGACCACAGCTGGGCCTTTAGCATGTTATTGATGTATTTAATGAAGCCATCCTCTTGTATTGTTAGTTGTCCTTTTTAAAACAAAAGTATTTTTCCTGAATAGTTTGACTATCTTTTTGATATTTTTGAACTTCTTCAATCAGTTATTTTCCAGGCAATATTAATCAAGCAGAAAGATACCATTTTTGAACATGGATACTAACCTTCTATAGAATCATTTTAACTAGGAAAAAAGCATGATATTGTATTCTCATTCTCCTAAGATTCACTAGATTGGCTTGAAAGTAAACTAAACTACAGTTAAAAGAATCCTGCTTTCTCTAAAGCAGACTGTTTACACCCAGGGAAATTTTTATGTCCCTTGTGGTTGAAGGCACTGTGGAACCAGCTTGAGTTATTAAAGAAGATTGTAAACCGTTAACTATTGCTAAGGTCTATTCAGATCTGTTCCTCAAAACATCTAAAGGACATGAAGTCTGGCTTCATTTCTTTGATAGAGTATATTTCTACTACATCAAATACATCTCTGTATACTGAGTGAGGGAGTTACCCTGTATGTGTGTCTCAGTAGTCTCTATACCTTGTCCACTAAAGGTCTTCCTTCTATAAAGAAGAAGAGGAAGAAGTCAATTTTCTTTTATTTAATGATGACCTTTATCAATTTGCATTTTGGAAACTAATAAACAACAATAAGACTTGGGATATTAAAATACTTCTTATCTCTAACTGGAGATAAGATATGGCCTACTATATTTCTGGAGTGGAAACACTTAGCCTGAAGGTAATACATGCTTTTTTTCATTTCTTTCTGATAAGAAAGAGTCACTTCCCTTTGATTTATAGTTCTCATAAAGTAGGTAATATATTTCATGATTAATTTTAGCTCCTAATCATATGCATATTGAATAAGAGATTCAGAAAAGACTGTAAGAAAATAACTATGTACCTTTACTTACATTTAATAGTCAGTATGATTTATGCATTCAACACATATTTTTTATCATGGCTTTTTTTTTAAAATGAATCTTGTGGAAATATAGTGGCAGGATAGCTATCATTTGAGATCATCTTTTTATATTCTAAATTTAAAGACAACATAGACACTTGTTTCTGCCTAGGCCCCACTTCTAGGCCCTACTGTCTACTTTAATCACAGTAAAGTCAATTAGGTGAGCAAAGACTTTAGTTCTGCTTAAATGCAATCTTACTTTGTCTTCTCTAGGGCCTATTTCTTGTACCTCTGCAATTTGTGAGGTCTTTGGGAAATTACTGGGACTCATTTGTGAGCCACCCAAACTTCAGGGGGCATTAACACCTTTGGAACCATCCTTGACCAATGAGGACAGGGATGCAGTGCATAAAATGTCTTCTTGATGTGGTTTTGGAATATAGGTGAGGTTCGGTGGGGTGAGGTCCGGAGCCGACTACCAAGAAAGAATTCTTGAGATGTCTTTGTTGCAAAATGGTGGTTTATTAAAACACGGAGACAGGACCCATGGGGCAGAAAGAGCTGCTGCACTGGGGTCTTGAGGAGTAGTGATTATATACTCGGGAGTTGGGGGAAGTAAGGAAAAGGGAGGTTTCAAAGGACTTTGATATGCTAAAGAGGCCTGACCTACAAGATACCTACAAGATACCTACAAGATACCAGAGGCCTTGCATTGTCAAGTTAAGATTGTTTTCCCCTCTAGCAAGGCATTCTTCCAGATTCCTGGAAGAATGTCACACATGTCCCACCCAAGAGTAGGGGGTAGGGGGTGCTTGTAGGGTGTCAGCTTATGCTTTGTCTTCAGCCAGCCTTCTGCTCCCTCATCATTCTTCTTTGTCCCATGGGAAGACAGATCTGACGATATTGCCTTGTCAACACGAGCCACCTATAAAGGTACTAACCCAGTAATTCACTGTACTGTCTTTCCTCTTCTTCAGTTTCATAATGCCTTAGCGCCTCATCTCCCAACACTGCAAAATTTTGCTCCCTGAGACAATAATTGCAAATAAACCTCTGTCTCAGACTTTGATAAACTAAGTTTTTAATCTGGCACAGATTGCTTGAGGTCAAATCCTGACTGTTTCATAGCAGTTGTTACCTTACGGTGTTATTTAACTTCTCTGAGCCTCCATTTCCTTATATGTAAAACAGGAATTGTGCATTCCACAGCAATATTATAAAGGTTAAAATTACATAATTATGTAAATTATTTAGAGTATGTTTTGCCTGTGGGACGCACTATAGAAGCATGTGATTTTATTCTGTCTCATACATGTTATCTAATTAAAAAGTAATTATTTTAGGAATTTTACACAGTCACCCAAATTATTTGTGGCAGACTATATAATGAGTTTTAATAATTTTTTTTTACTTCATATAAATGCTAGTCTATATACTCTGGGTTCACTGTCTT